TACGACTAGGGGGCCGACCTGGGATTTCATGGTAAAGGTAGAACGTAGAAGCAGAAGGCTGCTTATCACTGTCTCGAGGCGGTCGGGGGGGGGGGGGGGGTCTCTTAGGAGATGTGTAAGGGAAAGGTATGTGCCGTTGAGAGCAACGTGAACTCATAACCCAGACATCGCCAGGTTCCGAGCTGCCCTCCTCCATCAGCAAAGCAACAACAGGCCTGTCAGAGAGGAGAGGAGAGCAGCCCCGTGGCCTTCAGGCTCTGTTGGCCAACACCGTTTTTTTTGGAGGATAAAGGACCTTTGGCTGGCGAAAGTGGGGCTACCGGCCAGAGGAAGGGAAGCACACAGAGTGTGTGTGTGTGTGGGGGGGAGGCTGTTTTTTGTTTTTTTTTCTCGTGAAAGGCCATTTCACTGCCTGCTGTTACCATAACAACAGGCTACAGACGAGAAGAGGTCGAGGGGGGGTGCGTCACAAAACTTTTCTCCTCTGGCTGCAAGACACCGAGCACTGTGGGGGCTGCTGCTGTGGGACGATTATCAAAGACCAAACCAGAGGTTTAAAAAGAAAAGGGGGGGGGGGGGCATAGTGGAAATAGTTCCTCCACACAAGACCCAAATAAGTGGCTGTTTGTTTCCCCCTTTCTGTCACAGACTGTAACAGGGGGGGCATTTTGTGTGTGGTTATTTATTTTGTTGTCACTGCAGGTTTTTTTTACAGCTCTGTCATGTTGATGCTGATCATTTTGAAGCTGCACAATATGCTCCTCTGGCATGAAAATATACAAAACAAGTGGAGCAGGGAGACACATCCAAATCAATAGCTGTGAGCCAAAACCACCAGACACCAGAACAGCTTCTTTCCACTGGCCATCACCCATCAGTCATACAGAGTCAGAAACAAATCCATGTGCAACAATCGGTGCCTATATTCTATATATCTATACATTTTCCACCTATCCTATGTACATAACGTATCCTGTGACAATCTTTCCATATGTACTCAAGCACCCTTGCACTCTGTATCATTGCACTTTTATCTCCATTTCATTGTCATTGTTGTGTTTTATGTTCATAAACATACACTTTATATATATATATTTATATGTGTACATAGTAGTTCAATACCTTACCTCTGTTCTACTTTGTTTTTGTTTATTCGTCTATTTCTGTGTATGTACATTGAAAGTCCTTGCATGTGTGCGCATACATGGCCAATAAGGCTGATTCTGATATAGATGCTGTAATATGACACTTTAATTTCATATATGGGGTTTGGGTTATTGCGGCATCGACACTTTGATCAAATAAGGTGTTTTTTTACCGGCTGGCATTACAGCGGAGTGATGCAGATTACGGAAGTTATTCGACTGTTGTAAATAAATGAATATGCCTCTTCACACTTCTTATCGATGGTGTTGTTGCCGTTGTTGAAGGTTACAAAGTCGTGAACATGGTCGCTGCAGGACATGACAACAACATGGTAGCCACCGAAGCTGGGAGCGCGAGTGCCATCCGGGTTCACGGTTACAATGTTACCGAGAACAGCTGAGCTCAGTTGTCAAGACGCCGCAGTTTGCACCGGAGCGGATTGAACGAGACAGCGGCGTTTTTCCACTTGAATTGGGGGGGGAACTGCGGCGTATCAACGCGCGCGCGCACACTCACACACACGCGCACGCGCCGGTCCGCATTGGAGCTGCTGCTGTATACGATCTGACTGGATCTTTTTTATTTATTTTGTACAAGTCATCATCTGGCCGGGCAAAGGAAAACTAGGCCTGTAGCTATATTGAGCACCAACCCCCCGGCAGCCCTATTTCAGATTCCCTTTAAATGCGACACGTGTGTGTGTGTGTGTGTGTGTGTGTGCGCGCGCGGGCACATGCTGCGCAAAAAAGAAATGAGCTGAAATTAATTTTCGTAGGGCTTTTTTCCCCCGTCTCTCTCTTTCGTCTCTGCTTACCTGCAGATGTTCCTGAAATCGTATCGGCAGTATCTGAGCCATGTCTGGAGGGTTTTTCTCTCTCCGGAGAGTCCGCGAGGAAGGAAAAGGGGGAAGGGGACAGCAGCAGGAGGATTAGAGGGGATCTTGCTCTGTTAGTGCCCCCAAAAAACGTCCCCAAAAGTCGGATCCGATGGGCAGCGGTGGGTAGCCTGCGTTGGTATCACACGAATCCACTGACTGCTCCCATTCAGTTGCCCCTCCGCCCCATTACGCCAGTCCTGATTTGAAAACGCCGCACCTCCGCTCAGAAAACTAGTCCGCTTCAACTACTACTACTGGCGTGCAAACCAGCTCCTCCACGAGCCATGTAACTACACGTGGCTTTTCCAAAAACGAAAAATTGGTTATTGTAAGTTATGACTTCTCATAAGCTACCCGTTTCGTTGATGTATTAATTTGTTCCTCTCCTCAGAGCTGTCAATGCAAGCGCGTCGGATGTGCAGTTTGTACCCCTCCGCCGCAGCAGCACCCCCGCCCCCCCCTTCCCCCACCAACTTCGAAATCAGGGCTCGTGACAAGCGCCCCACCTTTGCCCGTGATTTTCTTGAGAATCACACACAGACACACACACACTCATCATCAAAAGTGTAGTTGTTGTTGTTGTACGTTCCCTAGAGGACTGCTGTTTTTTTTCTTCCAAAGAGCTGAAACTGCATCTTGCTGACTGACAGGCTCTATTCTCATCATCATCATCATCATCATCATTTCCATCATGCCTGGTGAGCAGCAGGTTGTGGACAACTGCAAAAATATTCACTTTCAGTAAGTTGTTTTTTTTCATGCATTGCACTTCATTTGCTATTAAGACAAGCTTTCTGGTCTTATACAATGTTGAATGCATACGTTGAGACTCTGTGGAAAAACATTTTTGCATATGGGAAAAATTGGAAAATATTATAAAAAAATAATTAAAAAATCATGGTTTAAAAGTCACAATCATATAGACCGGTCAGCCGTTTGCGGTTGGTCTAAAAAATACTTCCTTTTCAAATCAACAAAGGCCTTTACACTACTGATGTGAGTCAGTATTACACACAGGATGTGGATAGCGCATTTGAAAGCATTTGAAATCAAAAAAGCTACTGTTCCACAGGATCTGACTCACATATACAGTTCCTCAATTGATACACAGGGTTCAGTTTTGCATAATTAGTTGACATTTGGTCCTCTCAATGCACGGGAAGTAACGCGTTAAGAATAAAAACTCATTGTGATAGATTTATATATTTTTGTGTGGATAATGAAGCAGAGGATCTGTTAAGTCCTTGTTATCATGCCTCTAAGCCTGTTGCAATAGTTCTCCATGACATTTCAGTTTAACAATTATATTTACGAATAAAAAGTCTCAGACTTGGGGCTTGCTAGTGGCTCTAAGATGCTGGCCATGTAATTTAAATGTCCAGCCAGGGATCTCTGTGGCGTGCCATCCCCCATCTCTCTTCCTCCCTTCATTTCCTGTCATCCTTTTTACTCGCACTACCCATCCATCCATCCATCCATTTTCCACTGCTTATCCGGGGTCGGGTCGCGGTGGCAGCAGGCCAAGCAGGCCGACCCAGACCTCCCTCTCACCGGCAACATGTTCCAGCTCATTCTGTGGGATCCCGAGGCGTTCCCAGGCCAGCTGGGAACACCTCGCACTACCAAATAAAGGTAAAAAAACAACAACTTTGAAATAAAACTGAGGATGTACTATAGTTTTTCAACCCTGATTAATCCTGTAACAGAACTACACGATGCCTGACACCCACCTGCCAAATGATTCTGGCTCCAGGAAGTTATTGTACTCATTTACACCAGCGGCCTATGCAAATACAGCAGTATATAGATGAACGAGCCTCTGCACTTCCGGCCTGCACTGGAATCTACCAGGTAATACGATAAGACAACTGTAAACTGTGTTATTACTGCAGAAACATAAGTCAAGACATGACTGTAATATCATGATGCTCGCTCTGTAAGTCATTTCAAATTTCAAGCACACTATAGCTTTTAGCCTTTGCTGTAATTTTACAAATAAATGCCACAAAATGCCCAATAAACCTTGTAACAGACAGTTACTGTAATTTGCATAGCATCATGGATATAGTGCAGAGGCTATGTCTTTACAGTATCTTTCTGTACTTTGTACTGTTACACCTAGCGAATAGTGCTACTGTAGAAAGGTTACATTAACTCAATGTGGTGCCCATATACATATGGATTTGATTTGAATGGTTCAACTTGGGCTGTTTATGAATTTCTTGTATGCATGTTTTTTTTTTCTTTCTTTAATTCAGTGGTTGCAATAATTCAGAACATTTAAAATATCTATTAATGACGAACCAGGGTGTACTTTAAAATAGCAAGTGATGAACAAGAGTCATGAAACAATTATGTTTTCATTTTCCAATATATGGCAAATAAAATGAAGACAACTAATTAGTCCCCCACACATTTTATGTGTGGTAGGACTATTGCTAACTGAATTTGTTAGCCTACCTGTTGATTTAAACATGTTATCCCTAGTAATTTAATTCTTTAAAGTAAAATAATTTTATATAAAATACAGTAAATCTGTGTTTGCATTTGCAGTACTTACTAGTAGGCTATATTTAGTATATTATAATGTACAGTTTCATACTATAAAACACAACAGTATCATACTCCAAAACATATTTACAGTATCATACTGTAAACCAGGGCAGTTATACCGTAAAGCACAATAACGGTACAGCTGTTTTAGTGTAAAAACATATTTACAGTAAAAGTAGTGTAAACAGGTAATTGCGTTAACGTACCAGCAACAATGTTTTCCAGTAAGTTACCGCAATAATACAATAAAATGTCCTGAAGTGTTGGTTCTTACTTAGTTGTTAGCCCACTAAATGAGCGGATGCCACTCTGAAACCGGTAATTCAAATTACTAAAGCGTTAGATTTAACTCTGACATGTGTTAAATGTCGGGGTTTTTTTACACCTTTTGGAGTAAAAATGATTCACACAGGATTCTGCTATGTTGTGTGCTATGACAGGCCCAGGATTTATGGTTCGGTCACAGAGAATGTGGTTTCACTCTGACAGGGAGCAGGTGTTACCAGCAGCATCTGGTCAGTGGACATATGATGGCAGTACACACACACGCACACGCACACACACACAGCTCATGGTGTCTCAGTAAAACCAATAAATCCTGCAGTCTCCACACTGACCCTCATTGACGAGGATCCATCACAAGCAGAAGGTTGGAGTTTACTCAAAAGGACGTCATCGAACACACCACAGAAAAAGCCCAAATAAAGACCATGGTCCAGATTAACTCATTGTTACTGGTCATCAACAGTAAATATAAGGAAACTGCGGTAAAATAAATGAAATAAAAATGATACATTTTGACTTTGTATTGCACAATATCACACCGGAAAAGACACCTGTTACATAGAGTAGGCCTATATTAAAAATCAAAGTCAAACTAAACTAAGCCTGTGCAAAGATACACAGCCAATCTTTACTCGTAAAATCATGGAGACATTTATCTCAACGCTTCATCAGACATGACCATAATGGAAATGAGCAGGAGGCACAAAGTGACGCTGGAACATTTTAGCTGCAAACGAAAATAATTATACTGTTTGAATGTTTAGAAGCGAGTTCAATTTCAGTGATCTGACAGCAACAGCATCACTTCTGTACCCGAGGGGGCGGAAACATACAGCGACATGTTTTTCCTTTTTTACTGGAGAACAGTTTTGCAACCTTTTGCAGTCATTGCTATAAAATGAAGAGAAAACAGGAACATCTCTGAGATTTAAGAAATAAAACCTCTTAACAGACAGTTACTGTAATTTGTATAGCATTATGAATATAGTACAGACACTATATGCCGTAGTCACGTCATGTAATCTCCAAGGCTGGAGTCTGTGACATGTAATCTCTGTTATCGGTGCATTAGAAGTTTGCATTGTCAATTTATAAAGAAAACACCAGTTTAGCTGATGTCATAGCAGTTAGAGTTGTAATTGCAGTTTTTGTGACAGTTTAGTAGACCTGCAGAAAACTTTCAGACTGAGCTGTTGTCCTCATAAAACTCATATGAACACATCTTAGTGTTGAGGGCGAGCAGGATACGTTAAGTACGTGGTGTGCTTGGCCTGGCTCTTGCTGTCTATCAGAAGCAGCTGGTTATTGTTGTGGTGGGAAATCATCTCGTCGAGGGTGCCGAAAATCTGCAAGAGAGAGAACGAAAGATAAAGTGAGGTTTATCGAACAAAAAGCCTAAAATTCTCCCAGAATCCCTCTCTCTCTCTCTCTCTGTGTCTTTCTTATTTGCCCCCCCCCCCCCCCACCTCTTCGTTCTTCTTGCCCTCTTTTCCAAGAGCGTAACCTCGAGCGTCCCCCAGGAAGCGGATGGGAATGTTGTACACCTTCTGCCGGTAGAGCACGGCAAGGGTATACGGCTGGCGGCTGCCCTGAGTCGAGCTGTGTCGTATGAGAAACGCGCCGTCCTGCAACGAGGGAGAAAACAGCAAGCCAGATTAAACACTGAGAGTAGGGGACAAAACAAAATTGGCATTGAGAAGAAATGTTTTGGGAAACTGATAGGTGAACAACGGCGAGAAAGAGAAATAAGTGGAGTAAAAACATATTATACAAAGTACGTAAGTGTCTGACTCAGGTTTGGCTTCTATTTGAGTGCCAGCAAACAACATGCACATAAACACTCAGCAAATGTCCCCATTGTCTGTTGCTTGGTTGAATTAAAATGACCCGATTGGCCGATTATTATACCTTAAAAATGAAACACAGAACCGTTGACTGGCTCACCTTTTTGACCCTCCGTAAGAGATCCTCGGCCGTCTTCCTGTTGCAGTCCCCAGCAAACCACTCTTTGTCCTGTAATGTGACAGAGATACATCAACAAACAGTAAAACAGTCCTCCCTAACTAGATTTTTATTTTTCGTTTTAATTTTCATTTGCGCAGATTGATGCCATACCTCGTTCCCGCCTTGTTCGGTCGCCTTCATACCACCAGAGGAGGCTTAGAAAAAGATGAAAAGCCCGTTTCCCCAGGTTTTTGAGTATAAACCGTGCAATGTTTTATATTACTTCAAATGAAGAATCTAAGCAGAGACCAAATGATCACAGTCGTCCCTGATGATTAAAATAATAAAAATACTCTCTTTTTGAAAAGAAATTTGAGCTTACCAGCAGGCTTAGTGTCTGCCACAGGAGGGTTGAGAAGGCTGGAATCAAGAGCAAAAAAAGCTAATGTTACACACTGAATTTAACGCTGATGTGTTTGCGGAAATGAATGTAAATTGTTGCAGTTTTAACATTTTTGACTAATGTTTCATCCGTCTAACAAACCTGTGCTTCGCTTCCTTCAGGTTTGCTGGCAGAGAGGGCTTCACACGGTGTGTCGGTGGGGGGGGTTTGGCGGGAAACGAGGTGCGTCTCGCTTCGACTGAAGGAGCTACAGAGACAAGATGTGCACCGTCATGCTCGAAATCATTTCTTTTGGATGTGTGTGTGTGTGTGTGTGTGTACTGATAGCTGACCAGCTTTAGCGAGGACAGAAGACGGTGGTCTTTACCTGTTTTTAACTCGTTCAAGGAAGGCAAGAGTGAATTCTGAAAGGAGGGAAATATAAAAATGTTACTACCGTGTCACTGCTGATGAGATTCTTTTTTCCTATGTAGCAAATGGTATGAAAATGAAATGAAAACTTCCATTTCTAATTCAGGCCTTAACAATATCGCACTAGATGAATAGACACACTCACAGACTGAGCTCTGGGAACCGGAGGCTTCATCCTGCAGATGGAGAGAGAGAGTTCAGTTTCATTACATGTTAAGTGCCAGTAATTGACTGTGCAATGTCACTAATATCTCTGCGACATTTGCATTTTGCATGCAAAAACACAGCATCGCTCATTGTCTGATGTGTCACGGAACAGGAAGCTAATCAGACTAGATTAAATAACTCGGTGAGTGCATATGGCCTTGCTCTGGTTTGCCAGTGGGTCGACAGCGGCTGGTTTGGACCCAGGTTGAGAGGTGCACTCACATGATTATGGGAGATGGTACGAGCCTCATGTTCGGAGGCGGAGGCGGAGGCATCCTCATCGGCGCACGATAGGTGGGAGAGCAAGCTGGGAAACAGGAAGAAAGGGGACTCATCATTTTATCATCTGGAAAAGAAAAGTCTTGCAAACTGTGCAAACCGTTGTGGCAATTTATCCTATTGTTCTTTTAGATATAACTTGTATCGCTTAAACTTAAACCATGGTGCTAGTAACCTCATGCATGAGTGGTTCTCTATACTGTGCGTAAAGTACAAGGACCTGAAGACCAGCGGGAGGTTCTAACATTTTTCTAATATGAGTGACTCGAGTCACTCAAGAGGGGAATGTGGGAAAAATCAATCATATCCATAATTTGAAATGTATCCATGTATATTCACATTCATACTGTGATATTGGCCGGTATCATTGTCATATGAGACAGGGAGTCTAGTATAGCAGCCTTGGAGCCCGGGTGAAGATAGAGGGGGGATGACGCAGATAAACAAGTGGGGCAAGATTTCTAACGCAGGGGAAGAACGGGAGCCGGTCGCTGTGACGGGCGGCCAGCAGCGAAATCAGAGGAAGAGGAGTTGGGAAGGAGACTGTGGTTAATCACAAAAAGCTCTGTTATGACTTGTCCGAGGTACATAGTTTAACTTGTCTAGGTGAAAGTTCAGAGGAGGAGGAGGACATCTTCGAGGGGGGGTATAAAGTAATGTACAATGCTATTGTGAAGTTAGTTGACTCCGGACAGCTCGGTTTACTCGTATACTTTGGGATGCAAATAAATCTGCGTGAACTGAAGGAAATCCAATCTCTCTTGTGTTCTGTGTGTTCGTTACTGAGTTCCGTGGTGAGATCCTGTGGTGTCTCACCACGAGTCAGATAGATAACAGTTACTGAGCCAGCCGTTAGGTATTGAGTTTTAACATAAGTCATAAAAGCTGAGCATCGTCGACGGAAAAAAAAAACGTGCAAACTTTAAGTACAGAGCCAGTTCTTGTGAAGCGAGACGTAAACACACCAGCTGTAGGTTCCACATACATGTCATCGTTGTCTTCCTGAAATGCAAAATGACACACACATGAGACACACACCAGGAAGCAGAGTGTTAGTTTCATTTGTGCCTCGTAATGATTGGCTCGTTCGCAGCTGTGTGGCTGGTAACATCCAATCATATTCGTGCGTGCTTGGCCATTACAACCCGTTACATCCCGTTACACCTTCACACCAAGGCCTTTCTCTGGCTGTCTCCTCCCGTGTGTGTGTTAAGCTTTTTGGTATTGTTGATGTATTTATCTCTACTCGCCTGTTCTTCATTCGGATCCAGATACACATCTGAAATGGAGAAAGATAAAATACTGTACCACATTTTTTTCAAAGGACTTTCCGTCGTCTTGTAAGTTTCATCAGGATTTGAATGATCTGTCGAACATAATTTTGTTCTGTTTTTCCAGCTTCGTTACATTGTCTTCTGACTGTTGGTGCTGTTAGTGGGATGAATAGGAAAGGTTTCAGGTATTCAGAAATGTGTAATAAAGACATGTCAAGGACACAAAAATAGATGACTCATGACTTTCAACCTGAGGTTTTGGTCAACTAGAGAGTGTGGAGATAACCTTTTGTTGACAATGTGACAAGTTCCTTGTCTTTTAAATGTTACAAATTTTCAGCAACATGGTTCTCGCAGATGGGTTTGCCAAGGAAATTGTGTCACTCGAGGTGCAGCTCAACGGCACAACAGCAGGTGGTGCTCTCTTCTTTGTTCCAGTCACAGCTTCGATCTTCGCTTAACTACCCACTTCTTCTATTCATTCCACACAAACTGCTGCTGTTGCTGCTGGAAATGCTAAACACAACTGTCAATGACTGTTTTTTCTTTGCTGCATGCGTGCCGCAACAACAATTGCAAAATCTTTCATGGAGCGACTGTATTGCTGCAAATGGCACATGGCTAATAAAACCAAATATGTGGTTGCATTATCACGTCATTAATACGTAGACATTCCTCTCAGTCAACAGTCATTTACAGGCTGATGAGGTACTTCTATGAAAGGACTATTTGTGTGTGTGTAGTAGAAGTGATTACGGCACCTTCCTCAGTGTTGGATGCAGGGTCTGGAACGGGAGCGGGGCGGACCGGTGGGGGAGGCTTCATCTTTCTCCCGGGTTTCTCAGTTCTGTTTATCTCAGGTGCTGAAGACATGAAGAGAGGCAGGTTATACAGTGAATGAACAAAAAAAAAAAACGTTTGTGTGGCTACAAATGAGTATAAGAATCACTCACCTTTCTTGGTTTTGGGAGAGAAGAAATCTTTAGCACATTGTTGAGGTTTCTGGGTGACGGACAATTTAATTAACAAAAATGCCTTATCTTTAAACAGATTTTAAATGTCTCGAACACACAGAAACAGACTTCCGGGACACTGAGCTGTTGTTACCGTGGGTTTGGCCGGTCTGGGTGGGAGAACAACCTGCCTCTGTGGAGGCGCAGGTTTGGGCGGCCTCTCTGCTAAAAAAAGCAGGATCGAGGGACATTATTTTAGGTGAAAAGGTGTCCGTGCTAAACAGGAACCGTTAATACCCTATCTGCAGTGCTGTTACCCAGATAGACATTCTCCTCCACCTCTCTCTGTGGGACGTTCACAGTGTGGCGCTCACAGGGAGGCACTTCATACATGTCACCGTCGTTGTCGTCGTTATCCTGCCATTTAGAAAATATAAAGTGGAACTATTTTTACCCCCACAAAAAAAATGGGAAATGTACTAATAATGGCATAGAAATAAGATAAAGATCTTTAAAAATGTCTCATTTAGCAGCTTTGATAACTCAAGAACTTGCTGTCTTTACTTACAAATTCCTCCTGTGGCCAACCTGCATTGTCATCTGGGGGGGAAAAATACATCGATAATAGATAACAATGTATAGAACCAAGTAAGGAAACGTTGCCCCTTCATTAGGTGAGGTTCAATCTCACCTGTCCTCCTGGGTGGAGCTGGAGGTCCACTGTCTCTGACGGAAAGAGGAGCTGTGAGAAGCTGCTTTTCATGCATAATACATTAACAGCAACACTAATGGGGTTTTGCTAATGCACACAATACTTACAGGTTCTTCCGTTTTCCAAAGAAGCTCTGAGAAACACAGAAGCCTCAGGTCAGTATAGGGATTTAACACAGACAAAATAAAGTTAACTGCATGCCAGGCTGGTAATCATTTACTTTAACTTATCCATCGCTTTCATCATCAGGCATGAGTCAGTGGCTGCTTTTTAGGGAAGGTCCCCACGATGGACAATAGCGCTTTATTTAGTGCACCAGGTGAAAACACCTACTCGGTAACATATAAGTCCAAAATGTTTTTGTTAGGTGTACATAAGTGTACACATAATTCAAGGGTAGCTGTTAGTGTAAAGAGTGCTGGAATACGTATTCAATGGTTTAGTACATTACTTTATATGCATACAGTGTGTGGTTATACACAGTGACAGCCTGCGTGGAATTATTTTGACATTAGAATAACAAAAAAAGGCTTCTTCCATGAATTCCTAAGTTAATATACATACAACACAAATCATTCTCAAGTGACTTTAAAGCTGTTTAGAAATTAGTTTTACATTTAATATATATGATGATAGTTATGTTACATTATTCTGGCATTCAATTACAGCTCCCAGGTATATATATATATATATATATATATATATATATATACTGTATATAAAGGAGTTATAGTTTAGACAAATACATTACTAATCACTGGAAAATGTCCTATCTATAATAGTCTATAGTATATTATTATCATAAATCAATTTATTATTTTTTACAATTTTGAAGTATACTTTATAGTTCTACTCCTCAATTCTGAAGGAAATGTACTTTTAATTTAGCTACTGGTTACTACACAGATTACAATTAATACATTTAATTCAATATACAATAAACAAATAAATGATGATGTTTATTTACAGGTTAAGATCATTATTGTACCCATATTTGTCCAGCTTTTTTGCCTTATTCTCAACTGTTATGTCTGTTTTTGTGTAAGTAGATTGAGAGCATTGTATGTGCAAATACTGCCAATGAAGCTGATTCTGAATCTGACTTAATTTACCTCCAGGGAGAAATTCACAAGCTTTCCAGCAGTTTATAAACTGATTGCAATTAGCCCCACCTTTACCAGCTGCCACATCAGAGTAATACAAACATTACGATATAAATACGTTATTCTGAAATGGGACGTTCTGCCTACTTTTATTTTTGCTACTTTGAGTATATTTTAATGCTCAAAACACTGAATGCATGACATTTACTTGTAACAGTATTCACTGTGGTATTGCTACTTTTAAGAAAAAATATCTGAGTATTTACTCCACCTGACTTTTTTTGTAGCCTCTTTGTAAAAGTAAGGGATAAAAACAAGCTGGTCCCAAATAAAGTCGGATGAAATTAATCCTAAAGTGAAACGGATTATAGATTTGTTTTTTTGGTCAGCCTTTCTTTTAGGTGATTTTAGGGTTTTAAGTTTGGTGGAGTAATATTTTTGTATAAGCCATTTAAGTTTTGCATTCATTTTCCAGCAATGAATTGATTTGATAACTTAAAAAGAGGTCATACATAATTTCAAAGGTTATTATTTGTTATTTACTTTAAGAGTCTAATTTCAACATATAGTCAACTTGAATATCAACTGTCAAAGTTTGACTGTTTCTTTGTTTCACCGAAGGGTATCATCATTTTTACACAAAACTGGTGAACCTTCTTGGTAGCTACCCTAGAGAGGCAAAAATCCTATCATTCCAGTCTCAGGTTGATTGTAGATGTAGAGTGTTAGGGTGCTACGTTTGTTTATATACTTCTGGTAAAGGTTACATAAGGTCAAGTTTCAGTATTCTCACTGTAACTTATTTAGTCTTTGTGAATCCTATCCTCATGTATCTCTGTAACTTTTGGTTGCTGCCACAGTTAATTCACAATCAGTGTGTTTTTAAAGCAGAGATTCGTGAACACTTATCTGTTCGCAGAAAAGTTCACCTGCAGGGATGTGGCTGAGGTTGGCCGGAGGAGGTGGAGTTAGACAAGCAAAATCAAGCAAAATCAGGAAGTGGAGAGACAGTATCTCTGTTTTCCCACAGTGCCAGGCAGCCGTAGAGGAAGTGTTGATGTAAGGTACATCATTAAAGGTGGACAGAGAGGGACGGAGGGACTGCAGAGTTTCTATTTTGGCACACAAAATGTCAGAGTGTCACAGTCGCTGTACTGCTGATAAACACGGAGCAAGAGATAAAAAGGTCCGAAGAGAACTATGCTACTGTTCTGATATTTACAAACTTTTCCTCTCACAGACAGGAACTCCCAAAATATCTGCATTTTAAAGCCGGGTCAAGTTAAAGTGACCAATGTTCAGGTTTGTGTCAGCCTGTTGGAGCTTCTCTCTGATGAACTGTGTCAGGTGTGGAAAGGGCTTTCAGTGTCCCAGGAGGCCAGCTGGAGGACAAAGTCATGTAACCATGAAATGAGGTCTGATGCAAAGAAGGATGCACTGACCGTCATTCAAATGTGTCACTATTCAGACAGTAGAAGCAGTGTTTCTGTAGTATCATGAGCAGTTATAGATGTTAATACAGATAAGAATAATAACCAGCTACAGGACTATAATTTAGTTTTTTACACTTGAAAAGAGTAAAAAACGAAATACAAGATAATACAATACTATATGTGTTAAACTAACACCACAGACACTGTGTATACCTAAACACACAATTCCATAGATCGATAAATATTTAAGGGGGATATATTTTGTTCTCACTGTCCGCACTGCCTTTTCCACACTAGTCTTAGTGTGTTCACACATCACAGACTGGATCTTACCTCAATTTAAGTTTGTTTTAGAGAACATACAGGGAACTCCTCCAACCACAAAACATTTTATCTGCATGAATTGAAAAAACCTCTGTAGTTGGAAATCACATATACACACACAATGACATCCTTGTTATAAAACTGGCTAGAGAGTGAAAACTATATGAGCAAAAATGTTAAAATGTTGGGATGCCAATATGATGTTTTTGATCAAATATCTCTATTGATATTCCGATATTGAGGTTGACCATTTGTGGTTACACAAATTATTTACACAGTTAGATTTTTGATACATAATCATCATTAATTTGGATACAATAACTAAATACAGCAAATTATAGACCAGCTAGAGCAGTCTGGTAAGTTCAGAAAATTACTTTACTGCAATGCAGCCTTTAAACCAGGAAAAGACAACACTTATGTGAGATATTCAGCCTCATATCACGATATCAATACAATAGAAATATATTGCCCAGCCTTAGTCAGACATATTCTGAGACTCACTAGAATCTCTGCAAAGAAATGTGGGAACATTTGCACGAGACCTAAGAATAAAAACTATTGAAAAAGATCACCACCAACATTAAAAGTTAAAATAAACAAACTCCTCTCAGAATCAGATACAGAGTCTCTGAGATTTATGTTTGTATCAAAAGTAGCTACATTTCAAATAAGAATATAGTTCAAATCATTTCAGGTATTAAAAAAAATACAGGTAGTACTTTGTCTAAAATTCAGACAAAACTTCCCCCGCACGAGTATCAACTGTGATTCAATTGTGACACGTTTGAGTGAAATGTAATAAATTCAACTTAGTTAACTAAGAAATGGATTTTATGGAGCAGTTCAGCAAAGAACAAACATAAAAGAAAGGCGAACAAACCTTTGTGACCTTTTATTCTATAGTAAAGCACAATGCTGATACCTGTAGTGGTCCGGGTTATTTTTACAGTTTGGCTTCACACTCCCACACAATGACAACTGTGTAGCTGCCATCATGTCTCTCCCTTATTCAGAACTCCCTCAGAGAACTCCCTTTACAGTTGGCTCTGTTACGAAAACTAAAACTGTGCCATCAACAACACCTGCTCACTTCCTTTTTCACTCCACCCAAAGTTATCAGAACGTAAACTGAAGTGGGACAAAAACAAAACAGTACTTCACCATTGCCATGATTTGGGGTCCGGTCTCTCAGCTCAAGTCATGAGGAAATGTCTTTGTTTCAGCTGCAGGCGGTTTGGAAAAATGAAAGTGAGCAATACGGAGGGAATGTAAAGAGCAGATCTAACTGATCTCATTTGCATTTCCTACCTGTGCCAGACAGACAGCCTCACCTGCTGATGCTGCTGGACTGTCTGCCTTTAAATGAGCTGCAGCCACTGCACAGCTCAAACATGGCTCCAAGTTTCCCTACAGGCTACAGCAAACTGTTTATGGCCATAACCAACTGAGTTTTACATCGTTTGCTGCAACTGGTAAATTGCATCTCATTTGTATTCCATTTGCAATCAGAAGGGGAAATGAATTATTAACCTTTGATACACACACACACATGCTATCAGTGATGCTAAGTAAGCTCTAAATGTCGTATATTGCAGTCATTAGAGGAGCAATATACGACATTTAGAGCATAGCAGCAAACAACTACATGCTGTGTAAAGATGTAGTGCAAATGTCTGCATGAACAGAGAATGAAGTCACTCTCCCTCTGTGTGTTATCTGATCTTCTTTGCGCTCTGTTGACATAACCATTTTTTTTAGTGCATGTGCGCGTGCCCCACTGGCTAGCTCTGCACTGCCCTCATACGGCGATTACAGCTGATAAGACTTAGCGAACCACCCACCCTCCGGTGCCCCCCACTAAGGTTAGCACTGTTAGCTCTTCAGCACGTTTGCCACGGTTTGCACTGTTAGCACCGTTAGCCACGAGGCGCTGGCTCAGGCGCCAACATGCATAACAGACAGCACTGATACAAGTTTTAAATGCTTAAATGCTGTGGAGGTGAGATGTCAATGAATTAATTTGTACATCTTTAAAGGTGTAATATGTTACATTTGTTTGTTGGTGTTTGCATTCAAACTTGGCTCGTCCTCTATGACTCGTTGAGAGAGGGAGAAACATCTTATTTATTGCAGCACTGTTGTATTTGACTGGATTAGTTTTAGCCAGGTGTACCTTTTTAAATTGGCAACCAAGTGTAGGTTTTAATACCACCCCAATTTGTTTTCTTTTTGGCAATAATGCACCTTATTATTCATTGCTGGATCATTTTCCATTGCTAAGTTATTGCTGAATAAATCTGTGTGGTCTATTTTACGTACAAAATAACCAGAAAGTTTGGAGGACTTAAACAGTAATTTATATTGCATTTGTTTTTATTATGGAATGTATTTTTCTGTTGTTTTTATTATGTTTTATGTTATGGCCATTTATTTACTACATTCTTATTGTTCATTAAAATGTAATTTCGATGTTTTATTGAAGAATACATTTAGCTTTGAACACTGTTGAGTGAAAAAGATAACATTTTCTGTAAGAGTAATGGGTATAGGCAAAGGCCCCATGAGGTCATCCACAAAACATAGAGAGGCAACCTCAGACACACAGCTGTACATGGGACTAAAAAGAGAGAAACGAGAGAAAGCTGAAATCTGGGGGGACCCATGTTATCTTCTCTGATTTATGGATCTTGCAGTAAAGGTTCACAAATGTAGAAAAGATTCAAAATAATAATTACTCAATTTATACCAAAAACAGTTACTTAATTTCTAACATGTTGCAGAGTTTCGTCAGTCATGATCCAGGAATGAGCATGAGGCCTTTTCCTTTCCACCTTAGTGACCTTTAAGCTGTCATGTCGTAACTAATTTATCAGTAATTTATCGAAGATGATAAAATTCCACAGGTCAAAAAGCACAGAGCACGAAAAGATTTACTCCAAATATTATTTATTGACAAAGGAGTATGTTGCCAGATGTGGTTATAATGACAGAGACAATAAATTATCAAACTACACACTACGAAAGTAGTTTCTCCAATACAAAATAAAATACACATAAATATTAACTTAGTAAAAAATACATCTAAAATCCAGTCACAGAACAAAGTGAGTTTGTTAAGGAGATACGTTGTGCAGTCAATAAGCAGTTGTAATATAGAACATAAAAGAACAGCCCTAAGTCATTTGCAATATAAAAAGTAATATTCAGACAATATACATGTTATATACATGCTGGGCTCAACCCAGGTGTCTGGTGGAGAAATGCTCCGGAAATCTCATTTAAAAACAAATCGTAAGAAAAAGGAATGGGGCATGGGTTTATGGAATGGAGTGAGTGTCTCAGAGCTTCCACCTGTCCAAATGTAATCCCCTCTACAAGGCAGCGGGAAGCTAAAGGAGTTCAAACGGCAGAAACAAGCATAATCTGAACCAGCAGATATACGTTTTGTGTTTTGGTCTGGAACCCCTAAAGCCCCAAAGAGAGCAAATGCAGAACATTTGTAATTGAGGCAACGCAACCTCACATCTAGAAGACACAATCTTTGCACAAAACTTAAAAAAAAACAAAAATCCTATGTGACATACTGTGATGTACAAAGTAAATGCCAGTGTTGAGTTGGAGTGTGCTTTTGGATTAAAAGTGCTACTGATCTGAAGTCTACCAACTGTGACTTATTTATATAAACCAGCACAAAGGCAGCCAGAAAGGGCAGAGGATTATACAGATATTCCCTATATTTCCTGTTCACTGCCCGAACCTCCAGTTTTGGTGGATGAAATATTCAGAAAAGGCACGAAATTCTCACATTATCGCGATAATGCGATCAAGATGGCCCAGAACGAGAACAAACTCCCTGTGGGGTTTTTTTGTTCACATGTACTGTCACATTCAACACAGTAACAACCAGAACACTTGAGAACACTGAGAATGAAAACTCATGATTGAGATCCTTGCGCCTCTGTTGGAGTGGTTCTGCTGGTTTAAAACCTCCCATCAGTTTGAATTGAGATCAAGAGATGAACAGAATCAAGAGTCCTGTGGTTCTCTCTTGTGAATCTTCACAATGATCAACAGATCTGCGTTTGCTGCTTTACACACTGAGGTTATGGGTATGGTCATCCGGCAACGTTGTCTTTGCAGCCTCTCTTACTTTAGACAGGGTTTGCCTTGATTTTGCTGTTGATCCAGTCGATGTAATGGGTGACACGGGTGTAGACCCCGGGCTTATCCCTCTGCCCGCACCCATCGCCCCAGCTGATCACACCCATCAGAGTCATCTTGTCATTGTTCCGACAGACAAGCGGGCCACCAGAGTCTCCCTGTGGGTGAACGTCAAGAAGCCAAATGGAGAGAGAGCAAGAGAGAGAGAGAAAGGAAAGTTAGATTGAGTAAATCAGCATCGATTTAATGAGGAGGTGAAGCGCAAAAACGAGGCGTTCTCACCTTGCAGGCGTCGTCCAGACCTCGGGTGTCACCTGCGCACAGCATGTTGGATGTGATTGTGCGTTGGGACAGCACATCTGGGACGCAGCGCTCTTTGGGCCACAGGCGGACGTAACCTCTCTTAACGCGCTCGGAGAACTCTGCAGCAACTGTGGAGAGAGTGTTGAAATTAGAGCCTCCTATCCCCAAAAAACAAAATCAGTTAAAGGTTTGGTGGAAAAGCTTACACCGCCCTCTGCTGTACAGTCAAGAGAGAGACGCCACAATAGTACCCATGCGGAATTAAAGAGTGCCAGATCTTTGCTTACATTCTGAGTCTTTTCCGTAGCCTGAGATCTCACACTCGGTCCAGTCGGGCAGAACCAGCCCACGTTCAGGCAGACACGCAGGAAGAACCTCTGGAGAGTTTACAGCACAGATGCCAATATCCGTCTTTAGCTTCAAGAGAGCTGCATGTGGAAAGTGACCAGAGGAAAAGTCAGGGTAATGCACTGGGAAAATGAGGGACGGCGACTGAGGGATGATTTTAGTGTTTTAACAAGCATTCGCTGCCCGCCTAAGGTTCCATATCATCACTGCTGGGGGAGGACATGGTAACTAAAGTGTCTCGGTCAATTATCGTCATCATAGCATGACAAAACTCTGTTTCAAAATTCTGTTTTCAGTATCAACAGTGATCATGCACAAAATAACAATGAAATCATTGTCTCTTAAAATGTTTACTCACCAATGTCATTGTCAAATGTTTCGTTGTCGAATTTCTCGTGATTCCAGTACTTCTCGACCTTGAAAATCTGCTCGCTGCTGGAATTCTGCTTCCGGAACGTTCTTCCCAAAATCACTTCTAATTTTTCTGCTTTATCGCTGAAAAAAAAAAAAAAAAGAGACAATGAATACGTTTGTATGTTGCATGGCAAACATGTTGAATCATGTATTTGTGTGTGTGTGTGTGTGTGTGTGTGTGCGTCATTCCTACTTGTCCTCGAAGCAGTGTGCAGCAGACAGGACCCAACAGGAGTCAATGAGGACTCCTCCGCATCGGTGAAAGTGTTTTCTGTGACGGGCCTGGTAAACGTTAATGGCCGCCTGCCACGGCTGCTCCGTGATGTCGCTCTGTCTGCCCCCAAACATGCGGAACGCTGGGCGATTCAGCGTGTTGTCTAAGCGCTGGCCACATGTTGCTACGGACCAGAGAGGTTTCCAGGATGATGGTTAAATAACCGTAAGATTATCGCACACTGAACACATCAGAAGGAATGGAATGCTTTTCATTGGATGCGAAGATTTCCTACCTCCGTTATTGTTGTTAGTGGTGGGGGCACGTGGGCCGAGAGTGCTGATGATGGATGGACGTCTCGCTAAAAGAGACGATTATTCGCAAGTAAGTCTGACAGCACATTGATGCACAGAGATTTTAGTTGCTAAACTAAATGAACTTCTCGCGTCAGCCTTGATAATCTCACTTCCATGTTTTAACATTGCTGCAAAATGAATAAAGGAGCTCACAGCATGTAGGTATGTCACACAGCTCCCAGGTCAGCTTCATACTCTTGTAGGTGTGACACCACGGACCTGCGTCACCATCTGGATTCCTATTCGATAAAGGAAGACGAAAAGCAATGTCAACCTGAGTTATTCCGATCTCTCCACATGCAAGGGGAACCTATAACCATGAACAATGGTGTGGGCGGGTCTACCTGCAGAAGCTGTGGCTGCCCAGCCCCTGCTCCAACGCGCCAGATCGCCAAGCGTTGTTGAGCTTGCGCTTGACAGCGGGAGAGTCCCACGGGAGGCAGCGAGAGCTGCTCTTCGTGACGGATGTTGTGCCTCGGTATGACTCACCGGAGCCCTGCACACATTCTTGGTACTCATCTAACCCCAAAACAAGCAGAGAAACTAAGTGTTTAAGCAATTCAATGGTTTGATTAGTACTATTTCAGCTTAGCTTTTTTGTAAATATGTACCTTCTGGACATTTGGGCATGGAGCAGAACTCCCAGACGATCTGAGTGCCTTTATAGATGTAACACCAAGGAGTGCTGTCGTTGTCGGGGTTCCTGGGGGCAAGAGGGGGAAGAAAGACGTGGACAATGAGCAAGCATGTTCATGGTTCACGTAAATGAAGTGAAACGGCATGTCCTAAGCTCAGATCGTCTATCCACTCTGACTACCTGTTTCAGTTTCCTGCCTGTCGCTGTTTTCTGCCTCTATGGCCCAGTAAGCTTTGTTTCTATCTGCCTCGTCTGTGAGTCATTCTTCTTGTAAACGGTTCCATTACAAAGACGGTATATTAGTTTGTGCCATTCAAAGACGGCTATAATGCCACAAACTGATCAATACATGACTTTAACTTGATGGATACAAATGCATCATTCCTCCAGGGTTAATAATATTTGACCAGTATGTTTTGGATGATCAAATTTCCCACCTTGATTTAATCGCATGGTCACAATAAATACTTGCAGTTTACTCCGGCACTAAACAGATCAAAGTGGTCACAACATACCTGCAGAAGTTGTGATTGCCCAGTCCAAGACTGCTGGCGTCCACTTTCCTGGCGGTGAACCTCCTTCCCCTCAGAGACGTAGAGTTCCAGTTGATGCACTCCGCTCCCGAATGGCTGCTGCTCCATGTGCCGCGGTACCCGTCACCCTGCCCCACAACGCATTTCTCATTGGAGTCTGTTGGGGAAAAGGACAGAGTTAAACTGGATATAATGTCACTCATTTATATGTGAGACTGAGATCAATTCATTTATTGTGACCCAATAAAGCATGTTTATTGGATCTGGAAAAAATTTGGACAAATTGTTATTTCTTATATTAGACATTGAACTCACAACTTGTGTCCTAATGCAGTTTATATAGTATTTTCTTCCCAATTAGTGTTTTGAAACAATGACCAAACATAAACTATGATGATTGTCAATGCCATCAGAGTTATTGAGTCTGGCCAATCGTAACTCGTTACTCTTGGGCTGAAATCTCTTGGCTGTGACCAGTGGGGTTTGCATAATGATCCCACTGAGAGGGTGGGGTCACCCACAGAAACAAAAACATTCATATCCCAGAATGTCTTTCCATGGTTTATGATTCTTTGCTCCAAACCACAGGCCCATGACACCTACTGTGTGAGTCACACGGTCAGACTGCGACCTTATCTAGAGTCATTTACGAGTACGTAGAACATTTTGATCAGTGTTGTGTCACCAGACATGGACATGACTGGGTTTGTTGGGGCTTTGAAGTAAGACGAACAAATTGAATACTAGACATATAGAAAGATCTGGGATGTACATTTTGAACCCCAAACTAGCATTTGTAAATGAAATGTTTGGGGATTTGGACTGGACTGGACTTCCACTTACATTAAGCAAAACATGTTGGATCGATTAACCATGAAAGAAGCAGGTTAATTGCGCCGTAGATTGAAGAGTTTGTTGAGCACTTACTGATCTCACACTGACTCCCACTGAAGCCTGGGGGACACTGGCAAATGTAGTCCGAAGTGTACACGGCCTCCTTACAGGTTCCTCCGTTGTAGCACTGAGACACGTAGCAGTCTGGGAGGGGCAGACAGAGAGCCGGGTTAGTCAGTTAAACGTCATCCAGTTCTTCAGAACACAGCACTAATTATATAATCACATATATGATTGACACAGAGAATTACATTTGTGGGGTTCGGCCTCGAGTGTCACACTTATGCAGAAAGGTTTGTGTGCGTGGTTCACCCCGACTCTCAACCATCTCCAATGCTTCGCTTTTAAAAACACTGTGTCACGCCAATGGGGTTCTTTCTAGAGCAGAACTGGTTTCATGCCATCCCCATTTCATTTATTATTTCAACATTTCCTAAAGTCTGGCATTCAGAATAACAGCACCCCACTCACTCCCAGTGGTATGAGCTCACAGACGGTGCAGCTTGGCCAGCTAAAAAAAATGTGGTTGTAATTAGTCTGAGGGCAGAGCGATCGCGCTTCACAGAATTCGTCAATGGGGGTGAAAGTGCGCACCAGGGCTTGTCTGGCAAGAGTATTTCAAACAATCTCAGACTAAACTACACCCACTCGAAAAACACAGGAAACCCAACGGCTCTTCATTTGGACGCACTGGAATGACTAGGGGACTTGTGACACACGAGCCAGGCCAACCGAGAAAAAAATAATCATCTGAGGTTGTAGCAGCAAGTTAGAGGTAACATGAAGTTATGATGAAAGACAGAGAGGTCAGTAAGGGCGGGCAAACAGACAGACAGACAAATTAACAAACAAAAAAAGTCTGATTAGAAAGAGACAAATTCACTCACTGATGATGGGCACAATATGACAACGCTCTCGTCCTCTCAACGCACAACGGCAATACTCCACACGCTTTCCCCTCCATCGCAGCCAAGTGTCCCCAAAACTACGCACCGCTGACGTCCCACTCCCACCGTCCACACAATGTACTGAGAAGAGACAAACAGTGAGTATACGGCCGACCAAACAGGAAGACACAGCAAACGGAAATCATTGTCACATGTAAAAGCGGTTACAAACACAAAAGGTGCATTAATGGTGAGGAACACAAACACGTGAATTATATAATCTGAGGGTGGTGGTGGTGGTGGTGTTAATAGGAAAGACAAACAGGAGTGTGATGGGGCTCACGGGAGGTGTCAAAGGAGGGTGAAGGCTTCTTGATATGAATAATCAAAAGCGTCCGTCTCGCTGGCTTCCTGTCGGGCTCACCTCTGTAAAAACGAGTCCCTCTCTTAGTGCGGAGCAGCTCCACCTGTAACGGAGAAGAGATGCTGTTAAACAGGGCAGCAGTAAAATGGGAACTGGTTGCATGTCATTGGTTTTCCAACCCAGGCAGCAAATGGAAACAACAAAATGAACTTGCAGAAATGTGAATCTTGCTTCACGAGCAGCTCTGAACTTTTATTCAGACATTACTTGTTAACACATAGAGTACAGTACATACAGTAGTGCTCCAATAGCCAAGATGTGAGAGTTGGCTGCAGGACAACAGTGAGTTTGTGAGCTATACTGTTTCAAAATCAAGTTAATATTAAAAAAACATATATATATTTGGTTGAACATTTCTTAAAGTTGTTTTTGCATTTACAATGTTGTTCAACAGCGCAGCCTTAAGTCTCTTAACTTTGGGGATAGCACCAAGGCTGCATTTTCAAACCATGCCATGCAACAAAAACACAAATGCAAAAACAAAAATATCAAAACAGACTAAATGTTTGCTCATGTGGATTATAAACCACACACATTCAAATGTATTAAGATAAAGCCTTCCCAAGTATGTAGGGTTGGTAGTTAATGGGCTGAAATGACGAGGATGTAGGACTTACATTGTCCGCTAGGCAGCAGCAAAGAGCAGACAGGAGCAATAGCAGTGTTCTGGTCATGGCCTCTCAAGTGGTCTTCAGTTTGCTGGAGGTAGAATATAAATACATATTAGAAACAACTGACGGAAGATTTTACAAGCTAATGCGGTTAAGGTGGGCAATATGTAAGCACTGATACCTAGAGAAGATGTGCGCGCTGTCTGGATTTTATTGTTGTATATGTGTGCATCTGAATCCTTTGTCATTTCTCCTTTGTTTTAATGCTGAGCCAACAATTGCAGGAAAACCATCGAGACTGGTCACCTTCCTTCCTTCCTCCACCCCTACGCCCGAGGAGACCACTGGAGAGGAAAGGGGTGGGAAAGGTCATTTCTAGGTTCTTGAAGTAGTGTTGACTTATTGACTAAGACACAAAGTTTTCACAACCCCTCCAGTCTGATAGGAAAACTATTTTGACAATTACATTACAGTCATTTAGCAGACGCTTTTATCCAAAGCGACTTACAATTCAGATCTCTACACCGCTACGGGAGAACTTTTTGGGGTTAAGTGTCTTGCTCAAGGACACATCGACATGCGACTAGCGGAGCTGGGGTTAGAACCGCCGACCCTCTGATTGAAAGACGGCCCTGCTATCCACTTAGCCACAATCGCCCCACCTATGAAATGTCCCTTTCATTATGATAATAAATCTATAACTTCCCCACTGGGAATCATCAGAAAGCAGGTCATCTTCACTTTAAGCTAAACATGAGACTTCAAACAACATCATCTGGAACACAGCACGCTTACACAGCAGAGAGTTTCTGCACCCTGACAGCATTCCTTCTCTAACAGAGCAAAGCGGCAGCTGGGGGACGATTGAGTGACTCAGGACTTTAAAGAGGAGGAAAACAGAAGGGAAAGCCCCAAGCGAGAAAAAGTAACGAAACTCATATATTTCCCTTTTCTACTCCTGGATAAGGAAGTCTGATCACAAAGCTGTTCCTCTTCTTTGCTTTTAAAGGAGTCACGTTGTGCAGAAAAGAGGTACGGAGATGAGCGCCTGTCGCTCCCAAGTCAAGTGTGAGTAAACGTGAGTCACCAAAGAAGGACATGGGAGTAGAGGAGAAAATGAGAAGAAAGTTGCACACAATGAGGGCTGAAAGCAGAGATGACCTCAATATTAAAATTAAAAGTTAACCATCAGAGTCTTCTTCTACAGACACTGGCATGCAAAGACCCAGACGTACAGCAGTAACCATGTGCATACTCTACGTCGGCTGGTTCTCCACTGACTCACCTCCTGTGGTTGAGTCTCCTAATAGAAAACAGGGCTGTGTCTTGATATATCAGTAAAACAGCCACGCTGGCAACCACACACACACACACACATCCACAAAGTGTTCAGGAACGTGGAGCTAATCGTTAACCTCATACACACAAAGATTGACTTCTCATTGTTCAATGGAGCAAAAAGCTCCCTCTCAGGATTTGACTTGTAAAACACACACATACGCACACGCACACGCTTTCGCACACTCACCATTAAGAGGATGGGTCCCTTGAAAGCAGTCCTCACCTCACACAAATAAAAAACCCAGTTGTCCTGCACTTTTAAACGCCTCCCCCTGACCGAGCCTCACTGGCAGGGTGACAACAACGCACCAGTTTTGTTTCCTTTGTGCAGCTGCTCAGCCTGTTCAATTCCCCCCCCCCCCCTCTCTCCGGCCCTGTCAGCTAAAAACACATGTTTCCTGCTGAAACCCTGCCGGCGTGGGGCCCCGTGTAGTTCGGAAACGTGCGAACATATCAACACACGCAGAAAAAGCACACACCAACATGCACCCATCAGATATGGAGATATACCCCACCCTTCTATTCAAGTCTGCGGTATCTGAGGAGCAGAGGCCCTGTTTGGGCACCATCAACATAGCTCATTTTACAATCCCACAATGATGCAATTAGTCCGAGTTTTAGCTTTTGTGTTTTGTGGTCAGTCTTACAACGTTTAATGCATGTGAATACACATGAAAACACAATATAAACATGACAATGTCTAATTAAACTGTGGCCTCTCTTTTAATGTGTAAAGTTTAAAGTGGAACTAACTTCTTAGAGGTGATCAGTTCTTGGAATCGCTGGGCAAAACATATTTTTTGTGTGTGTTAGTTGCAGTTATCTGACTTTCTACATAATCTCCTACTAGCTTCACCATTTGACGTATTATGGTCTTTTTCAGGGAAGTGGAGCTATTTGAAAATGAGGAAATAATTGATGTTGAAGTTGTTTATTAGAATTGAAAATGTCAAATATGATGACTCATTAGAGTTGTTGATCTGTAGGTGTTGGTCCAGTGCAGCAACAACCATTTAACTCAAAATAATTCAGGTTTTACTCAAGTCAAACTATGTCACTATGCTTTATGACTGCCTGGATTAATAGCCAAAGAAATGAGGCCTGTCCCGCTGGCACTGATGGTGTTAGAGCATTTGTCAGTTAATAGTTGAAACATGTATGCAGCCCGAGGAGAGCGTGGGTCCCCAGTAGGTCAAATTTAAATGGAAGAAATGAAAACATCTTTTGGAGTAAGCAGCAGCCAGACTGTGAGTCAGCAGCAGCTTTACCGCTGCAGTTTTTAAGACGCACCACTTCAGCAGAGTGAAACACGTGCAGCTCACAGGATTTGTTCAAAAGGCTGAAAATTAATGTTTCACGCCGACACCATTTATTTCTTATTAGTATATTCAAAGAAACCGGTCTTTAAGCGCTGACCGACAATCTTAACGGTGAATTTTGCCGGCACCATTGGTGAGGATGTGTAATGACGATGATTACACATCCAGAGCGTGAAGGTCGGAGGTGAGACATTCTAGTCTTCCAGTAACGAGGCCCGGAAAAAAAAAGTCGACGCCGGTGAGAACGGTTCGCATAGTTGCGTCTGCCTGTGAAGTTCAAGTCATGGTTCACTGCACACTTTAAAGCATTGCTGAGGTGTTTTTTTCGTTTCCTGTCTCTCTGCAAGATGTCAGTTCTTAGAGTGCTGGCACCCAGGGGGACGGACTGGCAGAGGAAACACCTTCACAGTGAGCATTGTAGCTCTTGCAGTGTTATTTCCTTTGAGCGCTGAAGTTCGTTTCCTCACAATACTTCTTTGAAAGCTCGACATTCATGGAAATTGAGATTGTTAAAGCCATTCTCTTTGGTTGGCGGCGGCTGCAAATCTGAACTTCACAACACGCCTTTAAACTCGCTCGACCCGCTGCAGGATCCCCCGAACTTGCATTCAACCGGCACAATAGCATCAGTTTAGGTGTGGTTCCTTCAGTTAATAAGAGGTCTGCGTGTTTGCCGGTAAGGCGTTATGGCATGTGATGTCTTGTCTGTAAACTGCTTAGCAGGAATTGTGCATTCTTTTAGGGGGGTTTTCAGCCAAACTTCGGTCAACCAGCTGCGATCCGTCTCAGGAAAAAAAGTCCCCACGAACAGAGGGCTGCATTGTTGTCCTTAACTAAAGCTTCCCTCTGTGCACAACACGAAGCCTTGAACTCCTTATCGGACAGAAAACACAGACTCACAAAGTAGAGGTAGAGAGAGCAGGTGTTGACTGTAGAACTTAGGCCTGCATGACAGTAACATGGAAGGAAATGAAAGGATTGAGAGAGAGAGAGAGAGAAGGACTAAAAAGAGGAGATGAAGTCTAATCCCAGAAGTCAGCAGAAAGACGGTGAGTAGCCCTGAGTCACCCCAGCTCCAGGACCGCACAGAGACACATGGCGGAGGAGACACAGAAGGAGGCATTGATGGGATTTAGAACCGGTATTGAGGCCATTAGATGAAAGATGCAGTTCAGAAGGAATAATGGAGAAGTGAAAGAGGGTCTTTTTCTTTTTTTGGTTCGAGTAAAGCTTGGCTTAGTTGCAGCTCAGTGTTGTTCCCACAGTCTGATATTATCCTCCTTCCGTCCCGCGCTTAACGTTACAGCGTCTGATCCTGTGAGTCACACAAACACAGCCGACCACACTGCCGAGAAAAGCAGATAATGAATATACAAACTCTACTTTCTCTCAACATAACGACCAGCACGAGAGTATCAGTGCGATGGAGAGTATCAGTGTGATGGAGAGTATCAGCGCTGACGGATTCCTGGGGGAGGCTCTCATTAGCCTGATAAGAGCCTGCATGCTAGTGATCCTGTGCAGGTTTTGGCTTTGGAGTAGTACACAAATACACACACACACACACACACACACACACACACTGAGTTCAACAGCGGGGCACAAAATCACCGCGTTCCTGTAACATTTGTAACATTTTGTGTTGCAAAGCAAACGTTTTGCTTTCCGAGGAGTGAAGAGCCAGTGTGTGACGCGGTGAGGTAATTCCCGCGGCGGGTGGAACAGGTGGTTGTGGTAGTGGATGGAGAGTGAGTGTCATGATGAATCCATAGTTAATTACACTGAGTTGCAGGTTACTCGACGCAGCGTGGAAGCACTGATGTTTAATATTCCCCACTGTATTTGTATTATCTGATTTCCACTATTTAGCATTAGATAAAGTCGGAGAACTGTCTGAGTTTCAACTATAATGCTTTATACATTATTATATTATCCAGCCATAATAATTGTTCTTATCGACAAAAAAAAGAGTAGCCTACTGGTTAAAATATCTTAATTGCATTTAATCTATTTCCTCGTGACAAATCAAATAACAACCATGCAAGAATGTTTGAGGTATCATCATCTCAGTCTATCCCATCAACTCCACAACTACATTAAGAAGCTGCGATGGTGCGATTCAGGATGCAACACAATAAGAGCTTTCAGCTGAAAAACAGCCCGATGCACGAGCTCCGTGTGGATCCGCAAAAGATGAATACGAAAAAAAAGCTCTTACCAAATGAAGTGTCCCGGATCGCTGACCTCTTCTCTGTGTCTTTACAGCAGGACTCGTGGCTTGGACTGAACTGGTCTGTCTTCTCAGTTTTTATCGGAGCGCTCCGGTTCTGCCGGTGCGTGAAAGGGGGAGGGTTCAGCGGGGAAGCGCGGCTGGCCGGACGGATGACGATGATGCAGCCAGCTGGGCGGACCGTCCCAAAAGTTCCCCCGAGGAGGTGCACATCGGGGGGGGGGATCACACACTTAATTGGACCAGATCTACTCTGAGGTATTTTATCAGGAAGTCTTTAAAAGGGCAAGATAAATAACAAGAAATGGACCTGTGGAATTCATAATTCAGCCAGTATTTATATAATCTATTTTGTGTTATTTATATTATGTCTTTTAGAGATATTTTGTTCCTCAAGAGGACAAACAGCCCACCAACCAACACATGTGAAAAATATATAAATATAGTTTTATATTTAAATTAATTGATTTAAATATAAATAAACTAGTCAATTTGCTATCAGGTTTTTCTTATATTATATGGAACATTTGTGAGAAGCATATTTGTTTGTATTGTTATGATAAGATAAATGTCATTGATCCCACACAGATAAAAATGTAAATCTATACAAAAAAGAAGTATATTATGCATATTGGATAAGGAACGTAATCTCATAAAACCAGAATACTACATTATAATTATCCAGCCTATTTGATTATGTATTGCATTGTCATTTTTTCAAATTACTCTACAGCCACCAAAGCTTTTAAACTGACTGATGAGTGCACTGCAGTGACATAAAAACTGATCTGCAGTCTGTGATGGGCTGTGGGTGACACTGTATCTGTGTCTGTGCAGGTTAACCACCTGGCACAAGGAGTCATTTGTGTTACAACCACAAGCCTCTTTATCCAACCCGTCCCCTTCCTCAGGAAATCAGTCACAATTAGTCTCCCAAGAATAGCTCCATCTGATTTTTTTTTTTTTTTACTGTCTGTTAACTCGGCATTAAATAGCTGAGAACATACTTGAGGATGTCATTGGGCGGTGGTTGTTGGTTTGGTGCCTGTCCCCTTTGTTTCCATCTGTGTTAGATTAAAGCCCAACTTCTTGATGAGGAAAATCACACAACTGTACACAAATACACAATACACACACGCATGCACACAAATGTATTACATATCTATTACAGATGGCTGAAAGCTCTGCATTACATTGTGTTCCTTCAACACAGCGAGGAGTCTTATCTCTTTGAGTTATTCTCTATCAAATTCATTAAACACAACTGACCGTATACTTTAAGCCTCCTCCCTTGTGTTGAATGATGTAAAAAGTACTTCAATTATCCCTTTTTATTTGTTTTACTGCCCACTGCAATGATTGGTAATTAAAGGCGTTCCAGAAACTTGACAAACCACAGTTTTAAACACTTTTGTTTGCTGTCTTAATGTGTGGGTGAATGTTTTCACAATTCCTCGGACTTAGACACTCCATATTCATAAACAAGGTATAGTGAATGTACAAGAATCTGTCCTGGTTGAGTTTCTCAGAGATTTCTATATCTGTCAGGACAGAAGGAGGATACACATAAAGGCCTAATGGCTATATCACACACATAACACATATCACACTGTGACATCCCAGTATCCCAGTAAATATGACTATGTGCTATGGATCTTCTCATATTACTCGAACTCTCGGCAGGAAAGCAAAAAAGCATCTTTGGCAAAAATGTCAAACTATTGCTTTAGCACGTCAAATTCTGCATTAGCTAACACATTAGCCTCATGGCTAGTGTGGGCCTATAGCTTTGGTTAGCAGCTCACACACATCAACAGTCACAAATTGTACAGATGATGCAGGGAATTTGGGGAGTAGAGCTATATACGTATCTACACGTGGAACTGTGCAAGTAACGGTTGCTACCAGCAACACAATGTTCAGCTGAAAAATGACTGTCGTTGGCGGAATAAAAACATGAATGTCGTGGAAAATAAACACTCGTGAGGCTAATTGAGGACAACATTTGAACCGTTTCCACGGGCTAGGTTTACATGACTAAACGAAGCTAAATAAGACAACAAAGGTCTTTCATTATGAGTTCCATTTGACTTCTCTGTTGTGCAATACCGTCCTCACTGGGAAAAGATCAGGAAGCACCATGTTTTTTTTCCCCGCAGTATAAAGAGGAATGTTTTCTTACAAACATTTACAATTTGATAACGTGTGTTTTACACACCCACAGTTAACGTCAGAGGCACACGAGTAAATGCATACAGATAAAACTCGAGGGTTGAGTCAGAGTGAGCTATCTGCTTTCACCTGCGTACGTCCAAGAATAACAGGTGATGAAATGAAAAAACATCAGTGCTGTTCTCTGGAAATTCTGAAGTGCACCCCCTAGTACAACATCCGTTGGATCGTCAATGATGACACTGCAAAGTTAGAGCATGTTAAATAATGAAATGAATATTTGATGTCAAGCACATCAACTTGGAACATTGGATGATGTGAAAATCACAATCCACATAGAAATGTACATAAGTAGATCTGGTACACCTGACTAAGAAAATAATAACATCTGATTTACAAAATAGTGTTAGCAAACCATTTGAGACAACGTATTTGGACCTTGTGTGTAATGTAAATTGATACGAGTACTACAAAACAAGATACACTGTGAAAAGATGTTAAAAAGCACAGTTGAAAAAAAGCTTTTTACACATCTCCCTCTTGTAATTGAAGAGGGAGACGTGAAGTAAAAGTTGTCAGGTCACGACAGCAGATAGGCGGGTGACTGTGGTGTCCTGGATGATTTGGGAAGTTGCTCCAACCTTTAGTGAGAAGTTATAAAACTGAGCCTACAAGTGTTTTATTTCCATTCCCAAAATAGGGGCAGCCAATATGCTCCATAATAATGTCAACATGTAAGCTTTAACAACACTTTATTAACTACTAACTAACATTTCACAGGAATGATACTTGGTCAAAGGTCAAAAGGTGACCTCTCGCCCATCCTATTGTCGTGAACGCGACGTCTCAGGAACACCTCGAGCAAATTGTTTTCAAATTTAGCACAAACTCCCACCTGGACTCCAGGATGAACTGATACGATTTTGGTGGTCAAAAGTCACAGTGACCTCACCAAACATATTTCTTGGCCATAACTCAAGAATTCATTTGCGACTGATGACAATTTCCCGTCTGAGAGGATAGAATGATTAGGGGTGATGACATTTGGGACAGACATGGATGTGGACTGCAACATGACTGGTTGGTGGTCATTCTAGTTTATATATAATTTGCTCATTTTCACATTTTGTAAACAAAGAGAGTTAAACTACTCCCTATAATGCATGGGATCCGCTAAAGCACAGTGGACAACAGTTAAAAGCCCCCCGAGCTAAAGTTTGGGCACCACGACACACATATAGCAACATAGGGACACAATTTAAAGATCCTTCTACATTTTTACAAGAAGCAATGAATATATATTTATCAACAGTGATCCATTTTATAGGACAAATATTAAAATGTCCCTGCTTCTTTTTGTCATGTAGCAAATAAACAATTTTGCAAGGCATATTACTTGACATGTCATATGTTTATTGATGCTGTTGTCCTTAACTAAAGTTTATTATTGGCACATTGATTTAGAACTGCCGAGAACAAAACTTGCACCATACATACTCTGCAGTTACGAGTAATTAATAGACACCTCCCCACCAATCAGAATCGACAATTTTATAGCATGGTATTTTTATTTTATAATAATTAATTAAAAATTAAACATTTAAATAAACATTTTTAGTAGTATGTCTTCAACTTAAAGAATTGTTTATTCAATATTTTTTCATCTGGAACAGTTCAAGTTGAGTTGTGTAAATTGAACTGCAGACTAGAAGTTAAATAAATTCCCCTTACAAAGTCTAAAATATATTTTACACGTCCTGGTTTTCACATAAAATCGTCTTGAAACAGATTAATCATTCATGGTCAAAATCACGTGTGAATATCTGGTTGAAAAAAACCAGCCATGAAGCTAGCAGCTCGAGACCGATGCTCGAGACTCGAGCAGCGGATTCTGCCTCCTCGTGGGCGGGTCCCGCCAGGTTTACAGGAAATATGAGTATCAGGAAGTAGAAAGTTCTTGAGATTTCTTGTGTTGCCAAAATAACCACTAAACGTTCAAAGTTTAACTCGGTTAAAGACCGGACCGTGTTTAAAGAAACACCAAGTGCTACAGCTGCCTACGAAGTTTAAGGTAGGTTTTAGTTAAAATAATAATTCAGTTGAAGCGCGTTTTCTGCATGAAAATAAAAAGCCGAAAACATGTACGTTGCTTTGCATTGAGATAACTTCAGACAACAGGAAACACAAACAGAAGGGAAGTGTTTTTATCTTGTTTCTGTGCTTAACTGTGTTATGAGCAGAGAGGTTGAGTCAAAAAAGCAGCAAGATAACACAGCCTGTGTGATATCTCCTGTATCTACAGTATATAACTAGATATGTAACGTTAGGTAGACAAGGAACGCTTCATACAACTACACTGCTCCTCCATAGACACTCCATGTAATTTACTAATGCTCATTTTACTAATCAATTTACTTGTTGATTATTTGTTTCACAATATTTCAATTTGTTTAGTTTAGTTGTATTTTTATTATATTTTATTTATTTACATTTTTTTGGAGTATTTGCTAAACGTGGTAAAACATGTGCTTATTTGGCAAATAAAAACAAACTATGTGAGAAAATGACACTATTTCCCAGAGGTCCCAAGTGAGGCTACGTTTGTCCTCTGATAGTCCACAACCCAAAGATATTTGGGTCAATTTACAACGATATAAAACTGAGGGAAAAGTACACATTTTCAGAAGTTTGAAGCAAAGAATGTTTAGTATTTTTTAGCTTGATACTTGCTTATTTATTATAATTGTTTTGGTGTTTAATTTTGACACAAGAGTACATGTGCTTTGAGAGTACTGCTAACATGCTGAAATTAACTTTGTAAATACATGCTAAACTTTCACAGTAGCACATTAACATACCAATTTCCATTTACGTTTTTAGCACAGTAATGATGTTAGCAATGCTCAAAGACCAGCCAAGCCTGTACCAAGCACAAAGTACAGCCTAGACACATGAAATATGGGCAAAGGGTTGACAACGTAGAGCTCAGCCTGAGTCCTAATATATCCGCTGTGTTAGCTCTTTACATAACAAGCCATTTCTCTATAAGCGCACCCTCGGGCCAAACTTAACATTTTCATGTTGTAATGATCTCAGAGTTGCAAAGTTGTATTCTCCATTTTCTACTCATCCAATGTTTTTGTCTGGCAGTGCCTCGAGTATATCTGCAGACTTCACTTTATTCTTGTTGTTTGTTGTGTTGGCTGTAGGGCCAGCGGAGGAGAGGCCATGAATCGAGTCCCACTGCAGCAGCAGAGTTGTGGGTCCTGGGAGCTGAAGGAGCGACTGGGCACCGGAGGCTTTGGGAACGTCACGCGATGGCAAAACAAGGTACACGGCACACTATTCTAACGCCCATTATCATCCGTACAATTATATGTGTGGCTGTGATAGGGCACGATAGTAGACTGAATGGGGAAAACAATTAGGATGTTTTAGATAATAGATCATTATAGTGACAAAAAAAAAGATTGAGCATTTTAAGCAGACAGACGGACAAGAACTAAAGTTGTTCTGCTGACGTTCCCCAGCAGACATCAACACCCTCGCCATCAGTGCAATGTCATCAAAATGAAAGCTGTAAAGAGAAATGATTGTATCGCTGATCAAATCTAAAGGTCGATCAGGCTTTTGTCAAGTAAACTAATATATAAAACTAATACAATACTGACAACAAGTACATATCACAAATACAATACTTTATTTTCCTATTTCTAAATTAACCACTTAGCATATATTTGTTTACATTGTGCCAAATTGGCACCATTAAAAGTATGCCAAACGCTGAATCTAAACATACGTATGTGTATCATATCTGTGCGTTCATATTTTACTATCCATTTTCCACCGCTTATCCGGGGTCGGATCGCGGTGGCAGCAGGCCGACCCAGACCTCCCTCTCACCGGCAACATGTTCCAGCTCATTCTGGGGGATCCCCAGAATGAGGCGCCTAGGCGTTCCCAGGCCAGCTTGGAGATGTAATCTCTCCAGCGTGTTCTGGGTCTTCCCCGGGGTCTCTTCCCAGTTGGACGTGCCTGGAAAACCTCCAGTGGGAGGCGTCCAGGAGGCATCCTAATTAGATGCCCGAACCACCTCAGCTGACTCCTTTCGACGCGAAGGAGTAGCGGCTCGACTCCAAGTTCCCTCCTGATGACCGAGCTCCTTACCCTATCTCTAAGGCTGAGCCCGGCCACCCTACGGAGGAAGCTCATTTCGGCCGCTTGTAGCCGCGACCTTGTCCTTTCGGTCACGACCCAGAGTTCGTGACCATAGGTGAGGGTAGGAACGTAGACCGAGTGGTAAATTGAGAGCTTTGCCTTCCGGCTCAGCTCCCTCTTCACCAAGACGGTCTGGTGCAGCGCCTGCTTTACTGCTGCAGCCGCACCGATCCGCCTGTCGATCTCCCGCTCCATCTTACCCTCACTCGTGAACAAGACCCCGAGATACTTAAACTCCTTCGCTTGAGGTAGGCACTCCGTCCCCACCTGGAGGGAGCAATCCACCGGTTTCCGGCAGAGAACCATGGCCTCAGATTTGGAGGTGCTAACTCTCATCCCCGCCGCTTCACACTCGGCTGCAAACCGCCCCAGTGAATGCTGGAGGTCATGACCCGAGGAGGCTAACAGGACCACATCATCTGCAAATAGCAGAGAGGCGATCCCGAGACCCCCGAGACTGACGTTCTCCGCCCCCAGGCTGCGCCTAGATATCCTGTCCATGAAAATCACGAACAGGACCGGTGACAAAGGGCAGCCCTGGCGGAGGCCAACACCCACCGGGAACGTGTCTGACTTATTGCCGAGAATGCGGACACAGCTCCTACTGCAGTCGTACAGAGACCGGATCGCCCGTTGTAATGGGTCCGGCACCCCATACTCCCGCAGCACCCCCCACAAGACCCCCGAGGGACCCGGTCGAAAGCCTTCTCCAAGTCCACAAAGCACATGTAGACTGGTTGGGCAAACTCCCAGAGCCCCTCCAGTAGTCTTGCGAGGGTAAAGAGCTGGTCCACTGTTCCACGGCCGGGACGGAATCCGCACTGCTCCTCTTGAATCTGAGGTTCGACAAGCGGTCGGAGCCTCCTTTCCAGCACCCTGGCATAAGCCTTCCCCGGGAGGCTGAGTAGTGTGATACCCCGGTAATTCGAGCACACTCTCCGGTCCCCCTTTTTGAAGATGGGAACCACCGCCCCGGTCTGCCATTCCATGGGCACTGATCCCGACCCCCATGCGACATTGAAGAGGCGTGTCAGCCAGGACAGCCCAACTATGTCCAGCGCCTTCAGCATCTCAGAGCGGATCTCATCCACCCCCGGCGCCTTGCCACCAAGGAGCTTTTTAACTACCTCAGCGACCTCTGCCAGGGATATGGGTGAGCCTCCCCCTAGGTCCTCAGGCGCTGCCTCCTCTGCAGAGGACATGTTGGTCGGGTTTAGGAGTTCCTCAAAGTGCTCTTTCCACCGCCCGACGATGTCCTCCATCCGGGTTAGCAGTTCCCCCCCCGCTGAGAACAGCCTGGGGTAAGCTCTGCTTTCCCTTCCTGAGCCATCGTTGCCAGAACCTCCTTGAGGCCAACCGAAAGTCCTTCTCCATGGCCTCCCCGAACTCCTCCCATGCCCGAGTTTTAGCATTCGCGACCACCGCAGCTGCAGCCCTTCTGGCCTGCCGGTACCTGTCAGCTGCTTCAGGAGACCCCTGGGCCAACCAGGCCTTGAAGGTCTCCTTCTTCAGCTTGACGACTTCCCTCACCTCCGGTGTCCACCACCGGGTTCTCGGGTTGCCGCCACAACAGGCACCAATGACCTTCCGGCCACAGCTCCTAGCGGCCGCGTCTACAATAGAGGCTTTGAACATGGTCCATTCGGATTCCATGTCCCCAACCTCCCTCGGGATGTGTGAGAAGTTCTTCCGGAGGCGGGAGTTAAAGACCTCCCGGACAAGAAGGCCGGATACTCCGAACTGCTGTTTGGTGCATAAGCACAAACCACAGTCAGAGCCTTGCTCCCCGCAACCCGTAGGCGCATGGAGGTGACCCTCTCGCTCTCCGGGGAGAACTCCAACACAGCGGCGCTCAGCTGGGGGCTCGTGAGTATTCCCACTCCTGCCCGGCGCCTCTCACCCTGGGTAACTCCGGAAAAGGACAAAGTCCAACCCCTCTCCAGGAACTTGGTTCCAGAGCCAACGCTGTGTGTGGAGGTGAGTCCAACTATTTCTAGCTGGTATCGCTCCACCTCCTGCACCAGCTCCGGCTCTTTCCCCGCTAGCGAGGTGACGTTCCACGTCCCTAGAGCTAGTCTATGCCGCCGGCGATCGGCATGCCCGGGCCTCCCACCCGACCCGCTGCCCGGTCTGCATAGCACCCGACCCCGATGCTTGTCTCTGCGGGTGGTGGGTCCACAGGGTGGCTGCTCCATGGTGTTTATTCAGGCTGAGCCCGACCGGGCCCCATGGGCAAAGGCCCGGCCACCAGACGCTCGCCTACGAGCTCCCCTCCTGGGTCTGGCTCCGGGAGGGTGCCCCGGTTTCCCTGGTCCGGGCGAGGTGGCTATAGTCTGTGGGCTAATTATCATAGGGGTCATATTTTACTAAAGATTTTTTAATGCAGATCACAGCTCATATTTCTCCCTCCTCATCCTGCGTTTAACGGGGCATTGGAATTGATACAACAAAAAATCAGTCGTACATAATCCGAATAACATGACAACACTTCACTACTGAAAACTAACTGTCTTTGCGAATAGTATGACATCAGTCCAGGAAGCGGTCTTCTTTGTGCCCCAAGTGCTATATCACTCAATCCTAGTCACAGGATGAGAGCATTGTAGAGTTGCATCGTGACACTATGGGGAATAGGAACACGCCCGCTTAGTGGACCTTCCTCTTCCTCTCTCTAAAACTGTTCTCTCGTTGTATTACTCACACAAAACTTTCAAGGCAAACTCAGAGCTGGCTTTGAGCCGGGCCGCGTCATCGCGGGAGTGTGGATATACAAAAGATGGAGAGTCTGAAATTGTTGGGAAGCGCTCATGAGTATAATACCGTGGAAAAGTTTTCTTTTTCAGTTTCAAATGTAATTATTTTTTTTAACATAGACAAGCAGCGCCTGTTAACCGTTTGGTGGCCGCATTCCCGACCGTTGTGTGTTTGTTTACATTGAGTATATCTGTATAATTTAGCCTGAGTCCCACCTGTATTGTGTGTGAAATTCATTGTCTTAAAGATTACAATGAAGTTAGATTGTCATATGATATAACTCTACCACTGTTTATAGTAATCAAGGAAGGCATGTTCAGGAGTAAACGATGTATTGTTTAACGAATCACAGCGAAGCACTGCTGGTCGTCGCTGCCACGGCAGGTAAGGGTGTGTGACTGAACTTCCTCAACAGGAAATGTCCCGCCTTCCTGTGTTAATGACAATGCTGTGGGCTATTATTAGCTCATAGATCAAGTTATGGGAAGCAGGGTGGGGGCCTTGTCCCGGATGATGCCATGAGAAACGGGCAGTGAGATTGCTCATCATTTTTGGAAAAGGTATCAGCATGCATTTGTATCCGTGTCATGGTTTGTGCTGCGTTCACTCTCCCTTTTTCTATTATTACGAATATAATTACTAATTATTACTAGTTACTACAAGTAACTTTCACTTTGTGTAGATTTTGGCGGTCCCCGTGGACGAAAGTGGTAATGTTTCCGAGCACCAGAGTCCCTTTTAGAAAACCTCTCATTTTACTGCAGCTGGGTCTGACAGTCTGCCCCTCTCAGTCCTGGTTCTGGTTCTCCCGTGCCTCCCTTCCCTCCATCGGCCTGGGTCGCCAGCAGCGTGGTGTCGGTGTTGCTCTCCCAACTGGAATCTGAGCTGAATGAGTTTCTGGTGAACCTGCATGATTCCATCTGATTTTGCCAGAATCTGACGCGGTGGCACCGATGACGAGCTTTGAGAACAACTATAAAGAAATCATCTTCTCGCTGATGGTCTAGTTTACTTATGTGACACATATAGATGCATCAGTATGAAATTAAGACGGTTTCATAACCAGTTCAAAGTTCCTCACAGACTTTACATTATGACCACCTGAATATTTTTAGTGGTCGCTACTGAATACCAACATTAATTTCCCTTTCGTACATAATGCGTATAGGTAATATCTCAAGTGTGTGTGTGTGTGTGTGTGTGTGTGTGTGTGTGTGTGTGTGTGTG